ATAAAAATACTATACAACATAATATAAAAAAATACAATTAAAACATATTATAAAACATAATATAAAATCCTATAAGATGTAATATAAAAAATCTTATATAATATAATGCTAAAAATACCATGAAATGTAATGTAAAAAATACTGTGAGACGTAATATGAAAATTCTATGTCGTGGGTAATGAAAGTTCAATGTTGAATCATAGAGAAAAATAAAAAATGTCGCTATACAATTTGGTCTGGTCTTAAAAGGGCAACATTTGTGCTTCTAGAAGAACTTGTAATTGATGAAATGGTGATTGAAGAATATGATGACGAAAGAAGAAACTAATTAGTAGATATCAGGTATGTTAAAAGTAAATTGACGATGAATGATGACAAAAGGAAAAAGAATAGAATCGTTAGTAAGGTGAATGAAAGAACGTCAATAGAAATGAATACAACGAAGAATACATACCTGATATTCAAATCTGGAAGGTTACAGGTGCAAATTCGATTGTATTGATAAAACTATTAAAAGTGAAGTTATAAATATGAAATTTGATAAATTGAATCAAAAGAATGAAGTTAAGATCAGAATCATACCTGAGGGCTTGTATAAAAAGAAGTCATTCGAACATTGTCAAAAATCAGTTGGTTACTGTTATCAAAATAGAAATGGAACTGAAAAGGAAGATTATAAGGCATTCAAATATTGTGAGAACATTGTTGAACGTGAACATTCTGATGGACAAAGTAGCCCTAAAACTGCTATGAAAATGGAATTGAAGATGAAAAGAATAAACATCAGGCATCTTTTTATTGCCAGAAAGTTGCCAATATGGGTAATAATAGTGTTGACCATAAAATTTTTGATCTTAGATATAGCTATAAAAATGAAATCCAAGTTGATAATAATAGAACTTATGCTACCAAATATTGTCCTCAACATGGAATCGGAACTGAAAAATGATTATAAAGTGACTGCTTATCAAAAGCCCAGAAATTTGGGTGGTGCTGATGAAACGTATTGTGATAGAATTGGAGTAGAAAAAGACAAATATAACATGTTTATTAACTATCAAAGAAACCCCAGAATACAACTTACTAAAGGAACACTTAACGCTGGTTACTATTATCAGGGAATAGGAATCAGAAAGAATAAAATAAAGGATGGCAAAATTGAAGATAAATATGATGTGATCTATGATATAACAAATGCATATTTTAGTGATAATGAAGACTCAAAATGTGAAATTAATAAAAAGTACTGCAATGTACCTGATAATGAAAAGAGAGCGATAGACAACCATTGGTGAGATGAATCAGAGATTGAGATCGATCAAATGTTGCTGACCTTGAGGAACGATATTGACGGTAGAAGTGGCACTGTAAAAGATAAATATAAAGCACTTACTAGTTATCAAATGCTTGCGAAGATGAATAATAAGACATATGATCTTGCTGAATTGAATCAAAATAGGATTGTTGAAAAAGATAAATATAAAGCATCCAATGATTATCAAAAATTGGCAGAAATTGGAATTGGTTATACTAATAGTACATATAATCTTAGACATTACTTTAAAAATAGGAATGTTGTTAAAATTGATAGGTGTGTGGCATGTGGAGTACTTTTTATTGTGTCTTTGTGTTGTTTTACTTTTATTATTTCTTGTGGGTTATCTTTATTGTTTTGATGTTCTCATGGAACTCGAACTTAAGGGTTGGGAAAATTGTAAAAGACAGAAACGCCCTATCCAAAAAAGGTTGTTGTTGTGGTAATCAGTAGTATGAATTCTCAGAATTCCTGGTATTCCTAGAATTTGGGAAATTCAAGGAAAAGTAGAAAAAATTAGAATAGCAGGAAAAATCAGAATAATGAGACAAATTAGAAAAGCTAGAAAAATCAGAATTCGTGTTATTCCTGTATAAGTAAAAATAATTATATAAATAGAGATTCTCTTCAGAAATAAAACATAACTTTTGGGAGCTCAAAGTTCATAGTTAAAGAAATCTGAGTACTTAACTTGTGAATAGTTCACAGAGTTCAAAACCTTCTAAGCTCTTGAAGTAGAAGTATTTGTTCTACTAACCCCCAATAAATAAATCTGTGTTAATGATTAGAATTCATGACCAAATCCTGTGATTCTGAATAAAGAGATTCATTACGTAATCAAGAGCTCTAATCCGATACTATTGCTAAGAATCCAATTCACTCTAGTTACTTGGATTAAGTCTTTTCATGCCTCAATCGTTGCCTTACTACTACGATTTGGTTGTATCAGTTGTGGTGTTCTGGTTAGAGTATTTTAGTAATGTATGGTTGTATTATCCAGACCCGGTAGATATTTTTGCCCTTTACAACGTATATACGTACGTGTGTACTATGAAACTTCTATAACTGTAATTTTAAAAAGCAAGTTGGAGTTAACTTTAATTATAAAACTAT